TTGGTCCTTTCAAACCCGCAAATAACAAATATGGAAAATATGGGTTGGAACTTGGTACCTTTTAAAGGGTTGCCCCTTATGAGTGTGAGAACTTGGTTGGAACCATTCCTGCAACATATGTATGCTTTTCAAGAAGTGAAGCGATTAGCATGCCACAACAGAAGAGCATTGATTTACCTTGCAGGCTGTTATGTTAGATTTTGGATCATTCCAGCAGCCACCATTCCTCTCAAGACACTCATTCGTCTCAATATCTGCTTGTCAGTCAAAACAATAAATCACCCCTATTTTAAACAACCAAAGAATCTTATCAGTCAAGATCAAAGCAAACCTCCGCTAAGGCAAATTGCAGGTTCACTTGTCTCTTTAAACCCAGCACAGATGGCTTTCAACACAGCAGTTCTCTTAAGTTTACCTTCGCAAAGCAGATGTGATTTTTAGAATATATATTTTCATTGCTCAACAACATCCAGATTTACTACTACCTCCTTTTTACCATATATATTTTACACTTTTTGCACAAAGCTTACTTGTCATGATCCATACCTTCGGACGGTAAGTATTGATTAGTATATTGTTCCAATCATTGAGTCTAGATGATGTGAAGCAGTTAAGCTTGGCATAAAAGAGGGTATTATTGTACTACATAAAGTGTGCTAATAGCACTTTCCTAAACAAAAAAACTAGCGTAAAAATCCATAACAAACCTCTGTATTGGACATCATTGATAACCACTGTAGGCAATATAGTGACATCCCTACGAGATCCTCGGCCAGCCTAAACAAATGAAACAGAAAATAACTTTAAGAGGTGTATGCGTAGTACTCGTCTTCCCGCACTTCAAGTAAAAGAAATAAATAAAAAGAAAAAAAGAAGACAATGATTGATAATTGATAGAGTAAAGAGGCAAGGAGACAAATAGTCAAGAAAGAAGATGACATTTTAATAACATTGAAATAAAAATTAAAACATTAGTATAGAAGAAGAATAAAAGAACATGAATTACCAGAAGGCATGTCTTAGCAAAATTAACTTGCCCAACAGCCTAGGGCTGCCCCACTCTGAAGAGACTCAAAGGCTTTCAATTTCTCAATACCTGCTAGGCTGCTATGCTAAAGGAATTCCTTATCTATATAATCTATCACAATATGAAGCTAAGGTACAATATAATTAATATCAACTATTTCTGATATCATGATCTATTGCTAAAATATTCTGTTTTAGAAAATCATACTTAGTTTGATCCTTCACCCCTAAGATATCTGCAGTTCAATGGATCCATATGTATACATACATTTCCAGACAAGATTGTTACTATACGGATACGAACTATGTTGTTCTTGCCAGTCCTATTCCTGAAGATGAAGTCTCTTCCACTTAATTGGGTAAGTGAAAGATGGAGTACTTCGTTAAGAAGGGTATCTTTTTAGCACCTAAGAGTTATTATCTTTTGACAACTGAAGACAGAAGAATCCTGAAACATAAGGGACTAGCTAAATCATTGGTCAATAATGAATGGTTTGAGACACAATACGCTGAATTACACAAAACTAAACAGATCCCTGTTGTATCTCACTTTCAAATAGATAATCAGTAAATTAGTTAGTCGCCTAACTATGCTTTAGCTAGGCAATCAATATATAACAACCACAATTGATTAACTAAACAAAGTTTAAATTTATATACATGGCAATTTTTCTTACCTCCACAATACTCGGATTCACAAGTTCTACGTGACTCTTTATCCTAAAATATCAAGCAATGAAAAAAATCCCAAATGAATAATTTGAATTGAGAATGACAAAGGAGAGAGAATACATCAATGAAAATAAGTTCAGAATCGTATATAGTATTGTACGACATCAATGAGAGGAAGCAAGCAGAGCATTTTTACCGCAGGTTGACAGAAAAGGATGAAAGCTTCAGGAGCGCCTAATTCCACCGCTGGTCATCGGCCAAGATTGGCTCAACCGGCCACAAAAGGAGAAGCTACCGTCCACCTCAATCGTCATGTGCTGGGGAGCGAAGGCGTGAGGCGGCTGTGCTGAATGGCTGGATGGAGGCGCGAGGGGGGTCTGGCACTGAGGAGGTGTGAGACGATAGGGTTGGATCGCAAGAGGAGATGAAGCTTATTAGTTGGCGTCGTAAAAAAATTCAACTTTTGTTCCACCTCATTGCAGCGAATAATTTGAAAATATCGAGTAATTGCTACGGTTTCCATATGACCGAAGCAAATAACTCCTAAAAATATACACTATTTGCTGCGGTTCTCCCTGATCACAGCAAATAACTCAAAAATATGTACTATTTGTTGCGGTTTGGTACTAACCGCAGTAATTAAGTTCATTTTTCAAGTTATAGCTGCGGTTTTATTTATGACCGCAGCAAATAAGGAGCAGCAAATGAGCAAAAATCTAGTAGTGCATATGGACATGATTGGTTGAGGTACATATACTCCTAGCTAGGAAGCACGGAAACGTCGGGCAGGGGGAGGTTTCCGTCCCGGAAACGTTTAGGAAACGCGAAACGCCGGGAAACGGCCGGAAACTCCAAGGAAATGCCCGGAAACGTTTCTGAGAGGTTGGGCTGTTGGGCCGGTTTAGGAAACGTTTCAGAAACGTGGATGGGCTTGGGCCAACGCGTTTCCGCAGAAAGTAAAAAAAAACGGGCTTCAATCGACAATCGCTTACCTCTGCGTGCGCGAAGACCTGACGACTGCGTCGAAGAAGGGTTATCTGCGTCTGCGAAAGGGAAGAGCGGAAGACTGCGAACGAGAGTCAGGGAGTGCTGCGCCGCTATTGTGCTGCCGTGCTGCGCCGCCGCTGGTTCGCTATTCACAGGAGCGGACAGGATGGAAGAACGGAAGAAGAAAAGGGTTTGGTACTTTGGTTCTCTTCAATTTCAATTGCTTCCCAGTTCTAGACTTCTAGTCTTCTAGTAAGTACCGACCCTTTATTTGGAGGAGACGAGTTCTGCAATTTGGAAGAAATGGGCTATTTGGAGTTTGCTAATTTATCCTTAGATGAGCCGGAATTGGAGAGAGTGTTTATCACTGAATGAAACATTTAAGTAGCGCTTTTTAAATTTTATTTATTGTGCTTGTAGAATGGATTATAACAAGGATGTATGTTTTGTTTAATTATTTTCTGGTTGTTAGACATATGCATTACTTATATTACTAAAAAAATTAATTTCTAGTTTGACGTTTCCTTGTCGTACCCGTTTCCTAATATTTTGAGTTTAGCGCTTCCCCGTCCCCGTTTCCGTCCCCGTTTTCGTTTCCGTTTCCGTCCCGGTGCTACTTAGACTCCTAGTATTCTAAATCTTAAACTCTTTTGGTAAGGTATTTCATTCAAAGTGTCATCTTGACTTTGTTTTTGACTTGAGCTTCGGGGATGAAGCATCCTTTAAGGGGGAATTTGAGAGAATTTGAGAAATAATTAAAATTGTGTTTCATATCATTTAGACGGTCTCTAGATAGTTGATTAGATAGTTTATGATGTTTGGTTTAGTGTTTGGGACCTAGGTGAGGTCCAAATGGGGAAGAAACAGAGCAAATTTTAATTTTAGTGCATCTAAAGGTCACACACGGGAAATTCTTTTGAACTCTTTTGAACTTAAATGCTTCTGGGAAATTCTTTCTATTCTTGCTATAATTAGCATCTATTTTGGGTATGAATTTGGGGGTGTTACAGTAGATGATCTATGGGATTCTGATGCAAATCGGGATATATGTTACAAAGCTTTGTTCGTCACGTGAGAAAACTATTTGCCCACACTAAACCTGAACACTAGAAAGGGGCTATTCGAATCTAAGAATCAACGTTCACATCACACGATGATGAGATCTCAAACACAAGTGGAGATTTCAAAACATGACTGGGTCTCAGAATTTACTAGGAAGAGTGTATTGGTGCTGCTTTGAGTTGTTTTTCCCTTTTGTTTATTTTTTGTCTTCATTCATGTTTCCTTTTGTGTTTCCTCCTTTTTGTACTTTGACATGCTTTTTTAATAAAATATTTCTCTTTTAAAAAAATGACATAACTATTATCCACGGTGTAAAAAGTGTATCATGATGCATTTGTTTAACTTAGAATATATCATATATACAGGAGCGTATCTACCGTGGGGGCGGGGGGCAGCTGCCCCCATTCAACCCCCACCCAACCCCATTATATATATTTACCAAATTTTATTTATATATATAATTGTCTTATGTATAGTATAAGAATGTTTAAAATCCAAAGTAGTGGCTGAAGCGCTACTTGTTATTTCCCTACGTGCAAGGTTTGAATCCCCCTAGCTGCCATTTAGCTTGATTTTTTTTATTGCCATTCTAAAATTAGTAAGTCTAACCACTAATATTTTTCATTCTTTATTAAAAAAAGTTATAAACATAGTCAAAGTAGAAGAGTTTAAAAATATGTTTTACAAATTTAATTTATAATATATTAATAAATAAAATATAGTCAATGTAGAATATGTTGTGAACAGTGGGAAAAATCCAATGTTGTAATTTAAAGAGAACGTAGGTAGTATTTCATCTGTTTCTTATAAAAATTTATTTTATTTTTAATCAATTTTCGATTTTTAATCAATATTTGTTTCCTAAAAATTGTGTGATAACGTTAGAGTAAATTTATTTTAAAAAATTAGTGTAAATTTGCCCTCACTCGCTGAATTTTCTAGATACGCCACTACATATATACATGCATGATGATACAAATACAAATAAACACATAGTTGTTTATGTATCTTACTGTATTAGTTCAAGGTAACTGTAGTTATTATAAATCATACTAGTAACATGTAGAATGTAATGGTCTTTATATCTATACACACGAATCGAATGTGTCATATATAATTATGAAGGGTTTCGTGTGGACGTTTTATTCTTGCTAATATGGTGATTTAAAAACTTTACGTCTGTCACATAACAATGATTTTTCTTATTTTATTTATGAATAGAAATTAAGATACTTTTTCCTTTTATTAAAGATGTTTGTACTAACTAATAGATATAGGGAATGATCTTCCGTTGTTCTTCTCTCTCTAGGGTTACCTCCGTCAGCTGCCCCGGCCGTCGTCGCTGACTGTGTTGGAGTGCGAGTTTTTCTATCAAGCTCTTCGAGGCTTCGCTTTGGTTGGAGTTTTATTTCATTTGAGGAGGTCAATCGCGGACGGAGGAGCGTTGGAGATTTCGGCGTGATCTGTCAAAGTCGGCCTCCACGAAAGCTTCATTTTGTTCCAGGGGTTTCGTGCTGTGAATGGAGTGTTTTGTATACAAATACAAAAACATGGTGATAGGGACGAAGGAAGAAGATCTTGATTTTAATATGAAAGACGTTGCGGTAGAGAAAAGCAGTCCAGAGTTTCAGGTGGTAGGAGTGCTACTGATTTTTGAGGCGGATGAACGGCGGGTGCGTCCCCCTCCCGAGCCGCCGCCATGGCCGCAGGTCCGAGGGACGATTCGAGTTTTCTGGCTGAATCAAAAGTCTTTGATTTTTTGTTTTGTTTGCGGTTTCAGAGATTGTTATTTCTGCTTTGTTGTTTGCTTTTTCCTTTGTGTTCCTGTTTGTAAGACGTTGATTTTGGAAGTGGATGATGAGAGGAATATGGTGACCGTTTATGGCTTTAAGTTTCCCACTTTTGTATCAGCGAATTATATTGCTTCTTTGGAGGTTTATATATTACGAGTCTGGTTAACGAGATATCGGTTGTCAGATTTCTTTTTGTCATTTGACACATACTCTGAATTATCTGTTATCAATATAAGCTGAACTCTTCCAAAAAAAGATGTTTGTACTAAGATTGTTTTCAATCTCAGACCCAACTTTAACAGAGCAAATCAAATTTAAATAGACCAAACTTCGACAATTATAAAATATACAAGGAACAGACGTTTAACAAACAAGACCAGAAAATTTCAGTACAATTAAAAATACAATCATCAGAATACATGTGGCATGAGATGATCAAAATAAGGCCACTTCTTTATCCAAAAAAAATAATCAAAATAAGGCCACTTTTAACCTCAAACACACTTATCAAATAACCTAACTAATTCCTAGACAATCGTGTGAAGAGATAGGGTTTATTGAGTGTCGTCGTTTGATTCGTGTGGAGTATAGGTTTGATCAGTTAATTAATTTGTTGCTTTTTCGATTTTGCTTTTGAGATTAGCTTGGCTTTGCCGCTACTCTAGCTTCGACGAAGGGAAGGTTTGGATTCATATCTCTCATCTAAAAATCGTTTTAGGCGTCCGACTAGTCCCTGCTTAGGCGTTAGGCGGTGGTCGGGCGCTCCGATTTTCGTCTAGACACTCTGACTAATTGGATTGCCGTCTAGGTGAATTACTCGGCCACCTATGGCACCTAGTTGCCCGCCCAAAGCGCCTAATCACCCCCCTAGCCCGTCTAGATTCGCCGAACATTACTTTTCAATTTTAATTTTCTAAGCGATATAACTACTTTAACTTTTGCCACAAATACAAAGAAATGAAGTTGTAAATTAAGATAAAGACTACTCCCTCCGGTCCTTATTAAACTTTACACTTTGACTTCATATATATTAAGGAAATAAATTTGACTTTACTGTAGAGTACACTGTTTGACACTGTTTAACATTGTTTGGCACGGTTTTGCACTGTTTGGTGTAGATTTGTTTGCCAAATAAGGCAAATAAGGTAGTGTAAAGTTTAATATGGGACGACCCAAAAAGGAAAGTGTAAAGTTAATTAAGGACCGGAGGGAGTATATATGTTGGTATATATACCTAAATTTTATTATTATTTATATTTATAAGATAATGAAGTTAAGTGTTTAGTTATCATATACTACACATGATTAAATGTGATAATTCTATCATTCATGTTTGTTAATGTATGTGTATATATGTATTTTATTCACACAAGAATACAATATTACTTATCATATGTATGCAAAAATATAGAAAAAAATGCAACTTCTATGTTCCGACTAGTCCCTGCCTATGCGCCCGCCTAGCCGCCTAGGCGCTGGGCTAGCGCCCGACTAGCGCCTAGCGCCTTTTAGAACATTGATTCATATACCACACAATACTTCTAGTGCGAGTCAATCGATAATGCGGGTGTGTGGTTCTTTGGAAGTTTTTCAACGGCTCAACCCTAGATTTAACGGGAAGACATATGATGGAAAATTGCAAAGGTGAGTATGATGCAAGTCAAATGTCTCGTTTTCGGTCGCGAGAGGTCATGGTGCCTCAATCAAGATGACGACGAGCAGTGGTATAAGCACGTACGTATGAGGGGCGGTGAGGGTTGGGGAGTGACGGGTTTGGCAACGGTCAGAGTTAGGCCGACGATGAAACTTCAATAGTAGCGGTTCTGATGGTTCGGCCTCTTCCTGAACCACCGTCATGAGTTGAACCATTGCTAGGGTTTGAGAAATTTATCTAATTACTTATTGTTATTTTGTTGTTTGAATTTTTGCTAAAGTCTTTGTTGTTAGATTTGCTGAGATGATTGGAAATTTAGCATTTTTAATATCGTTGGAAGTATACAAATCTGTACGACCAGTGGTAGTTGTGTCAATCCCGTTTCGTGATTAGCGATTCATGTTATATGTCTAATCGTAGGCATACAATCATAGTTGAGAAAGTTTGATTAGTGTTAAATATGATTTTTTGTTTGATTGATGTAACGATCTTGAAAATAATAACATAAATATGAGAGGCTTCCTTTCAAAAAAAAAAATAACAGTACACCACTTCAAAAAATAATTATACTCCGAAACAACAGGACCATACGCACTAGTCCTATGAAATTGAACCCTACCCGACTTACTGTCCTCTACCATCGATGTCTTAATCTAACGGCCAGAAACTATTGCGGCAACTCACGCTCATCAGTCCGAGTCCGTCCACCGTACAACCGGCTGTATGGTGAGCACCGTACAGCCGGTGGCATTTTTGTAATATAGTGTGAAAATCGCGGTTTCTGCTATATCAACATTAGTGTACTGTTAATGAGCAATAGTTCAATTTTAATGAGTATTAAGAGTCTAATAATGAGGACCATGTTATTACAAGAAAGCTGATATCACAACTAAAAAACGGTGGCATTTTCGTAATTTTGGTGAAAATCACGGTTTTCGTTAGATGAGCATTAATACACTGTTAATGAGCACCTGACGTATTTTACTGAGTATTAAGAGCCGAATAATGAGTATTGTGATATCAATTTCATATATTGCAATTCACTTTCTTTTTCTTATTTTATCTTTTATAAAAACTCATTAAATTATATCAATAATCAACTTCTATAAACTTCAATATGTGAATTTAATGTAGTATGATACTTTTGAAATATGCATTGATATATCATTTTAAAATGAGCATAATACCAGTGTCAAATGAGTATACATAACTTACAAAACGAGCATTATATACAAGTGTGTAATCACATAAAACATAGAAAATATATTCTGAACAAAACCATTATTATGTAGAATAAATCAAAGATATGTTAACATTATATACAAGTGCAACAAAGATATTTCATCAAAAAAGGAATGAACTTTCACTTTGTAATTTTGTCAAACACTTGGTAGACATTCAATAATGATAAGCTAATTAATCATAATAAACTGTTTTGTTATTAATGAATGAGGGACCATTGTTTAAATCAAAATCTCAAAAGTTAAATTCATATTGCAGTGCATCACTCAATTTAATCCATATCCGAAGCTGCTGACATAAGAGGAAAGAAAAAGCAAAAAACAAAAAATTGAACAGCTGTAGGAAGCAAAAACAATGGTTCTGATGGCTCGTTTAGATGTTTGCCATGAGGATTCCAAGCTCTATTAAAGCTGAGGAAATTTGTAGACAGAATTACTGTAGTAGTTCGGCGCTGGGAAAGATCAGCAGAAACGATGGGAGTAACAAGCATCTAATTGCCATCCGAATTGTGAATAATTGCAAAAATACCTGGTTGTACGGTGAGGACCGTACAACCAGTTCGTATATACTACACCCAGGTGTACGGGTGGGAACCGTACATCCGGGTATTTTTTTTAATTTTTTAAAGCTTCAACCCAATTTAAATGAAATTTAATGAATATAATGGAGACCCACAATAATTAACGAGCAAACCCCATAAACAACGGGTCCGAAGTGGAAAACAAGCAAAGGGACCAATTATTTTAACGGTGGCAATTTTGTAATTTAAGCAAAAAATCATGTCTCCTGCTAAATGAGCAATAATGTACTTTTAATGAGCATTTGACCTATTTTATTGAGTATTAGAAGGCTAATTATGAGTATCACGATCTCTGCTTCACATCTCCTGAATTATTTTCTTTTTTTGTTATTTTTTCTTTTATAAAAACTTATTAAATTATATCTATAATCTACTCCTATTAATTTCAATATGCGAGTGTGGACATATAAAAATTATTGGGCCAGTTATGATGATTATTGGACTTCTTTAAAATCTATGAGATTAGTCTCAATCATTTTGGGCCTCTTTTAAAATTGTATTGAGCCAACGTCAACTCTACTAGGTTGCTTGTGTTGGTTGTTGGGTCTTATAAAATATTAATACGGACCCATTCGGATAAAATTTAATAATTGAATTAATCTGGATCATTAAAATATCCAATTAATTTAATTATAAATTAAATCTTTAAAAGAATGGACCGGTCCTATTAATTTCTTTATTTTGAGCCCATTATTAAATAGTAGCCCAATGAATAAGAGTCATGATCCAATTGATAAAGGGAGCAATGAATATGGTTAAGGAATCCATCTGTATGCATGAAAAAAATGGCTGTGAACTGTTAAAAAGTCTGTCCAAATACATCAAACAAGTGCTGATTTTTCTGGCTATTAAATGCAAGCAAATAGAGCCCAAAACCCATTTTATTTGAGGCCCAAGGGATATGGACGAATTTCCAAAACCCTAGAGCATATTTTCATCCCCTCCACACCTATAAATAGGGGTCTCAGTTGAGAGTTGAGAGGAAGAGGAAAGGAATTTTCAGACGAAGAAACGTTGCAGAAAAGCTCTCAAGAATTCCCGAAAGGCTCTGAACGATTCCGAAGAAGAGGAGTAGATCAAGCCATAAATTTTATTAAGAATATACGAATAATCCTTCGTGATTTCGTCGATTCTTAATAAAATAAATCCAAAAGTTGAAGAACGTTCGAAGATCTGAAGAACGAAGCTTGAAGAATCGAAGATCTGAAGAACAAGACTTTAAAGATTTGAAGATATGAAGAACGAAACTTTGAAGATTTGAAGATATTCATATTAAGATTGAATCAAGATTCAATTGAAGATCAAGCCACATATCCCGGGAGGCCCTTAAACAGAAGATCAAGCCACAAAACGGCCCTTTTGTTGAAGAACAAGCCACTTGAAAACTGGAGGCCCTTCAAGCTGAATTCTTAATTCAAGAATATTTGAAGATTCAAAGAACAAAGATTCGAAGATTCAAGGAACAAAATTTTGAATTAATTTCTTTAATTATATTTATTTCAAATTGCAAGTGAAGAATCAGAGGATTCATATTTAGAGATTGTACCCAATATTCTCACATATTATTATTTGCGATCAATTTTAAGTAAATACTTAAAATTTGTTTCACAAATTTTTGGCACGCCCGGTGGGACATCTCTACCTC